CTCCTCCTCCTCCTGGCCCTGCTCCTCCTCCTCCTCCTCCTCCTCCTCCTCCTCCTCCTCCTCCTCCTCCTCCTCCCTTCACGCGGGCGCATGCACGCGATGTCGCCGCGGTCATGTCTGACCTCCTTGGACGTGCGCAGCAGGGGGAGGGTGCACTCCGTCCCCCCAGCGCGACAGCAGCGCATCCCAGCCCTCATCCAAAGAAGAGTAGACGACGTACACGCAGCCTGTCGGACCGCCGACGGTTTACGGTTGCAGAGTTGTCAATTCCTTTGCTCTGACCCTTCCAGTGGCTTTGCCCTTCTTCCCGTCTAGCGCACGCGCCGAGGCTCGACCGGGCCTGCCGCTGACCGTGTCTCCTGGTGCTATGGCTCTCTCTTCTGTCACTGGTCGAGGCTTGTGGCATGAGACGCAGCGATGCCTCGGACCTCTTCTTGGGCAACTTGAGAGGTATGCCGCCCGCGGGGGTGCCAAAGTGAATCGCGCTCGTCGCGCCGCGGCCTGGGCCAGAGCGGCTGGCAGCGATCCCTCGGAACTCTGTGGAGGGGGAAGGGCTTTTCAGAAGCACCCGTGCTTCTCACAAGGCGCGGGCCTTGTGGGCCAGCGCCTTCTAAGAAGCAGCCTCCTTCTTAGAAGCCTTCCCCCCTCCCCCTCTCCTCCTCATCCTCCTCCTCCTTCTCCTCCTCCTCCTCCTCCTCCACCTTCCCCCCTCCTCCTCCTCATCCTCCTCCTCCTCCTCCTCCTCCTCCTCCTCCTCCTCCTCCTCCTGCTGGCCCCGGAGAAGGCGCAAGGCCACCAGGGGGCCCAACGAGGATCTCTGGGCGAGAATTCGCGCGGCGGCCGAAGGCCGCGAGGTCTCTGTGGAATGGGTCCCCTCTCACGCTGAAGAGGAGGACGCGGGCCGTCTGGCCACAGACAGGGACCTCTTCCTTGCTGTGGGCAATGCCACGGCCGACCATGGGGCGGGGGAGGCGGCGGAGTGGGCTTGGGAGGGATTCGTCATGCATGCTGCTCCCCACGCTGACTATTGGGATGCTGTTGCCGCTCTTGTCAGACGTCGAGCGTCCAAGGCCTTGCAACTTGCCCTGGACTGCGACACGACCCGGGCCGAACGCGAAGATATCGCGCCTCGTGGTGCCCGCGAGAGCGGCGTGAAGATAGCTCTCCGCGAAACGGGCCACCAGATGGCCCAGGACGGCGCTAAATGGAGATGCGAGGTGTGCAACCAGCGAGTGCATGCCTCGAGCCTGCTGGAGTTCTGCAGCACCGCGTGCGTACCTCCGCCAGCCCCGCCTGTCCCACCCCCTCCCGTCCTGAACAGGGCCCCCAGGGCTGTGGGCGAGGGTGTTTTGAGGGGCCTGGGCGGGAGGGAGCTGCACAGCACTCACAGACTTGGAGAGTGGCTCAAGTATTGTATGGTGTTCTGCCACGAATGCGGTAGGTATGCGACGGAAGTTTTCAGACATCTCGAGGCCAGATGCCTTGGGAAATCACGGAAAGGAGCCGAGAATTTAGCTCGCATCAGGCGAGACCAATACCCACGCCGCGAGGGCCCTCCTAAATCGGTCTTCGAGGCGTTGCATGCGCGCGTTTGTGCTGAAGAGGTGGCCAAAGCGACTGTGGCGGGGGATCTTGGGGCCCGAGGACCTGCCCCATCGGCTGTGGCTGCGTCGAGAGCTCAGGACGGTGCTCCCACGGTGATTCCTGGCGACTCCTCTCAGCCTGTGGCAAGGCCCCTCGACCCAGAGGACGAGGCGGCAGAGTGGCTTGTCGGCGGCGCGGACGATCCGTGCCCGCCAGATTTGGCGTGAGATGCGCCTGAGAATTGAAGCCGATTCCGCGACCTTTTGAACCCTTGGAATGTCCGGAATCTGTTTAACAGTTTTAACGCCGGCGTGTTGCCGAGCCACTTGTTAATCGATGGTTTCGTGGTTTATGGCCCATGGCTGGGTTGGTGGATTCCTTGCTTGCCAGCGTGCTCCGGCAGAGCGTTTCTGGAGCACGCTGGATGAATTTGAAGACGGCTCTCTCGGCACCAGGGTCTTGGTGTTGGTTCCGACTCTCCCCTTGGTGCTGCGATGCCGAGCTGCGAGCTGTGCCGCGTGGACGGCCACACTGCGTAATCCTTACAGCGTAATCATCCTCCTCCTCCTCCTCCTCCTACTACTACTACTCCTCCTACTCCTCCTACTCCTCACTCCTCACTCCTCACTCATCCTCCTCCTCCTCCTCGCTCCTCGCTCCTTGTTCCTCGCTCCTCGTCGTGCGCGCGCCGCCAGGTAAGAGGCACGTCACCCGCGGGGGGCGAAGGCACATCGCGCCGTCTCGCGTCGCGGCCCGGGCCGAAGCGGCTGCCCGTCGCCAGGCGGGCGGCTCGAGGGCTCGAGAGCGTGCATATGTCAGCGCGCATCGCAGGGCACGGTGCGCGAATAACTCGGGTGACCCATAAAGGAGGAGGAGGAGGAGGAGGAGGAGGCGGAGGAGGAGGAGGAGGAGGAGGAGGAGGATGCTCTGAGACTGTACGCTTCCTTGAGGGGTGGAAGGTCCCCAGGTGGTTGGCCTCTGCACGAGCAGCCACCTCTGCGGGCCTGACGGCCCGCAGCGAGCATCGGAATGCTCCTGCGATCCCAACTGGGGGTGAGTGATGTACCCCGCAGGGCAGCACAAGTTTGTGCGTACCCAGCTAGTGGGCACGTATCCTGCGAACCCTGATGCGAGGGTGCAGGCTGTGACGTACCCGACAAAGGTACAGACTGACGCCCGGATCGCCAAGGCGTTTGCTAGATGCTGCCGTGCTCCTGCTCTGGCAGGGGCAGCTTTTGGGATAACACCACCAGTGATCTTCCCGAGCAGGGGGCCAAGCGGTCCGTAGCACGGGGTTGCGTGCTACGCCGCCGTGCGCGCCCTGGCGCGCACGGGAGAGAGCGCAACATCGCACACACTGAGAATGATGAGCAAGAGAGCGCAAAGGATGGCGCAAGTAGCGAGAAACATGGGAACAAGATGTTGCCGTGTTCTTGCTCGTGGCAGGGGCGGACCCCCCCCCAGTGATATTCCCCAGGCGGGGGCCCAGCGGCCCGTAGATTGGAGTTGCGGCCTGCGCAACCGCGTGCGCCTTGGCGCGCACTAGAGAGATTGGGGCTGCGCCACCGTACGCGCAACATCGCGCACGCGAGGATAGGGGAAGATGGAAGAACGGGAGAACGCAACGATGGGAGCGAAAAGCGAGAGACATGGGATGCAAGAGTGGGGGGCTGGATGTGGCCGCCCACGCGTTGTTTCGACTGGCGAATAACTGCCCAAATTTCCGCCCCTCCGATAGGGCGGCCAGGTGAGCCCTAATGAGATGCAAGCTATGTGGTGCAAGCAATCGTGTCCGGGCCGCGTGGCCTGTGGAATGCTGGCCAAAATTCTGATGCGTATTCGGCGCAACGAAAATGTCACGAAATTTGGCGCCCAAATTCTCTGGGAGATACAGGAGGGGCGCTGCGCGAGCGAGTGCCCCTGCTCGCTGCTGTCCAGTGGTCGTCCTGTTCAGGACGGCGAAGAGTCGGACAAGGGCGCAAGGAGGAGAGATGAACCTGGCGCGGCGAATGGGGAAGAAGGGGCAGGAAGGGCGGCCGGAGTGCGCCGAGCGAGGACGGAGGCAAGACGAAGAGGGGGACAAGAAGCACGAAAGGAGAGGAGAGATGGAGAGCGAGAGACAGAGAGAAAGTGGGAATTCAGACCACGGCCACAGATGGCAATGGATGCAACACCGAGGAACGATCGACTCACTGATGCGAGGCAGGTTGCATTAGGTTGGCGACCGTCTCGATGTGAGAAGGCTCTGGGATGCCCTGCACCAGGTTAGAGACAAGGAAACACATGGGGAGGGCTTCTGCCCTGGACTCGGATTCATTGGCCTGACAGCTGGGAATAATGGGGAGCTGTCCCACGAACGTGGCCGATGTTCGAGTGAACTCTCTGTCCCATGTCCATGAGGCTCTAGGAGACAAGACGGGCAATCTAACGTGCTCCCGAAACGCTGTTCCGGAGCACGCTGGCCAAGCACATCCATGGAGCCACAAAGGCTGGACCCATTTGGGGCCCGTAGGCGGGCCCGACTTGGGTCCAGCCCGGGAGCGTGCAACGCCAGGGCGGGACGATCCAAGGCGGCCCCGGGACAGCTCTCGGCGAGGGCCGCTGCCCCGGACACGATTCAGAATCGATCCTTCAACGGCCAGACTGGGAACTGTCGTGCCTCCAGTCCTGAAAGAGGGAGGGAGGGGGGGGGGAGCCAGGAACGGGGGGGGAAGGGAGGAAAAGGTGTGGGGAGGGCCAAGCGAGGACGGGGGCAAGACGATGAGGGTCCCAGACATGATGCTCCAGATTCTGGTAGGATAGGGGGAGGGCGGTGGCGCGGGCACTTGTTTTGGCTTGCGTGGTACCCAGGCTTGTAGTGCGCAGCGCTGTCAGCCCGCTGGGCTGGCTCGCCTGCGCCACGCCAGCCGCCGGAGCGGCGTGGAAGTGCCCTTGTGACGGCCACCCAGATCCTCCCCACTGCCCTGGCCCTCCCTGCGTCTGGTGCACAGATGAGAGACGGGAGAGGGAAGGAAGCACAGAACTACGAACGCAACAGCGTGGCAAGGGACATGTACTCCTCCAGGCACTTTGCGGGCCCTTTTTGAAATCGATG